ATTCTGCTCCATCTGAAAGCACGTGATGATGATTTCCTGCTGATTACAGAACCGGCATTACTATCAAAATGCGCATGACAATCGCATTCGATTAATCGTGCAGCCCTAACTAAAACTCAAACTTAAAATTAGGGGGAAAATATTACCTAAATGGTAATATTAAAAAAATAATAAAAATTACAACAGCACATCAAATTACTAAAATGTAGATAAATTAAAACTAAACTGAAAATATAAAAATAAAAGCTAATTCAAAATATGAATAAAAACTATAATAGTAGATAAATAATACTAAGAAAACACAGTGGTCTACGCTATCACATGTCTAAATCACTCTCATAATCAAAATCTCATAAAAAAAAAAAAATAGGATTGCAAGCCATAAAGTAACACTTTGTAATAAAAGTGTGAATGTAACACTTAGTTACCTGTATTCCAGAGGTGGTGAAATAGGGAATCTCAAACTTCACACTGATTGGTGGTTTTCCCTCCTTGTCCTCTGCCTCAACGCTGGGCAGCCCGAAATGAGCCCTCATCAGGTACTCCTTACCTCCCTGAAACACACACACACTCATAAGCTTCTGCTAATATCACTCTTTAGCTAATAGATTTATTATTATGAATGTACAGTATCACAACAGCACTGTGCTTGTTTCTCACAGGGAAAGATTTGATGGACCAAACAATCTCGCTGTTCTCCGGCACCCACTTCACGCTGCCCACCGTGGTCTTAAACTTGGGCGTGTCTGCGTCGGTCGGGACTGGAATATGAATCTCCACGTTGTTGGCGGTGGAGCGTCGCTTAAACTGAGACTTGGCCTACGGTAAAACAGACGAGACATGATTTAGGTGCTCTGTGCACAAACACACCATAAAATCACTCTGAAGTTCACACGGATGCAGGTGCTCACTTTGATCATGTACTCGATTCTGCTGTGCGAATGCTTCTCAATCACAGACTCGATCCAGATCAGCGGCTTCACCTGTTCACACAGAAAACCAAACCCCATCAGAACCAAACACAATCAAACGCCGAGTATAAACTGAACAGTGTTATTACAGCATTACTTTTATACTATTATAGTTTTTATTAATCTTTTGAATTAACATATTTTATAATGCAATATTCTGAATTAGCATAATTTGAATTAATGTCACTGTTTTTGTTTATATTTTTTGTTTATTATTTTTAATAATTGTATGTAGTTTTAGCTTTTTTATTAGTTTTTATTAGGGCTGGACGATATGGCCAAAATTTATAATCACGATATATTTATTAATTTCGGTCGATACGATATAATTCCGATATCGATATGAACACTATTAAAAAAAGCCTCGTAAAAACTGCCAAGAATGCCCACAACAGATGTCTGTCTAACAAACTTATGAAAAATGAATTTGCCAAGTCGATGACACCTCATATAAAACATAAATAAATAAATAAAACAAAATTTAGCTGTTAAAAAAAATAAATGATTATTTTTTTAACTTAATAATTAAAAATACTAATTATAATAACAAATAAATATAGTGCATTAGTGTGATTATTTTTATAATATTTTTCGATTTTTATTATGTGTCTCATCCAGTCCGATTTTTAAGTCGGAATTATCTGTTTCACAATTAACAAACTGAATAATCAGTTAATCGAGCTCATAATCACAATTATTTTTGGTCAATATTGAGATACTCGTTGACTTTTGGAAACATTTAAGCATTTATTGAATTTTAAAAGTAATATCCTTCAACTTAGGTATATTAATTATAATTCAATCAACAACCATCCCAAAACTCATTCATGTTTTATATACTTATCAAATTAAATAAAATTAAGTAAATTCCATGGTAACCTCATTAACTAAAACTATTTTGATCAAATTTATTTTATTATATATAAATTATATATACATATGAACAAAACATTTTTAAATAATCATATATAAATTTAATAAAAATAAATAAGATCAAGTATATTTTAGTGCACTTCCACAACCTGCTGACAACTACTAAACATTTATTCAGTATATAACACAAAACACAACACAAAGAGTGAATTATTGTAAAACTACATGCAATTATCTTGTTTTTACAATCATTAGAAGCCAAAATACGATGTGATTTGATTGCTTGCCCAGCCCTATTAGTTAACATGGACTGTTTCAAACATGCTATTTCAGTCAAGTGTTAAAGCTTTCATAAGAACAGCAGGTTCATCTCCTCACACAACACAAGCACAATGACATGGATGTGACTGTGTCCTGTTTGTTATGATGGATTCCTGTGTTTATTCTGAGCCCGTCTACAGACATCTAAGAAACGTGCTGCTTCTAAAAACATACCAGGAGGTTGACAGACTCGATGACGTCCAGGAAAACCTCGTTCTTCCTGTACTTGATGCCCTCTGACCGCCAGGAGACGGCGTTGGTGACCGTGGCAGGGGGCCGCGGAGCGCCCGTGTCCAGCTTGTGACCTTCCTGCGTGATGTATCTGTGAAAAATAAACACTTTCCATCAGTTACTCCTGAATGACATCTGCTGGGTCAGAGAAAGGCCTGCAATTATTTTAGTATTGCCATGTTTGAAACTAAACAATGTAATGATTTAAAGACTTTTAAATGAATCGCGAGGCCATGCTGCGCTGCTTTAGAGAAGAGGAAGAGAAAACTAGGGGTGCACGTAAAAATCTATTCATATATCAATCTCGATTCTTGTCTTCTAAGGATTCTAATGGATTCACAAGTTTCAAAATCAATGTTCTAAAGCAGCGGTTCTTAATACTGTTCCTCGCGTTCTGTTCTGCACACACTCTGCATCTCTCGCTCTCAATCAGCTCAGCTCCAACAATGAACTGTTCCAATTATACACTTATTTTCACATAGCTATGAGAAGCGTTAAACATGGACGTGTGCGGTTGCCGTACTGTATTAAAGCTTTAATCAGGATAAAACCGTATATTAAAAGCTAACATAAGCAGTAGTATTTACAAATAACAGCATATCTAAAAGTATGAGACAACAACAAACAAAAAACATACCATTAAGAGCCGTGCTTGCACAGGTTCTGCACGATCCTCTTCAGTAATATCCTCTGCTTCTCAATCGGGCTCAAACTGATAAGCAATATAGACGACGCCATTGTTTACAATACAACCGGAGCACATGCCGCTGAGGTGAGGGGCGGGACGGTTAGAGGCGCACTAGAGGCGGTTTAGCCAATCACAACACACTGGACTAGCTAACCAGTCCATTGCGTATTTCTGAAGGACGGGCTTCATAAAAGCAGGAAATCATCAGCGCGTTTATAGAAGAAGGGACAGAGCGGTGTGGAATGAAGGTAAATTATGTGAAAAAGAATGCTTTTTTTTTTTTAAACGAAGCATTAACACGTTAGACTGTAGGGCTGAAACGATTAGTTAAAAATAAAAAATTGTCGACAAATATTTTTGTCGAGTAGTCATTTGACCTAATGTAAGATCCTGCAATAACGCGGTTTGACCAGTGTGGCGCTGTAGCGCAAGACTAATTCAGCCTTCCTGGATGCAATTCAAGAGAAGACGACACATCGCTTCAGAGCAAACGCAGACGAACCTGAAGCTGACTTTATGCAATAGATAAAGTTCCCCTATTATGCCATTTTTAAGGTTGCTAATATTGTTTTATGAGTCTTCTAAAACAGGTTTACATGCATGCAAGGTCAAAAAACACGTTAGTTTTCTCAAAAAATTTATTTAATTTTACCTCATTTCTAAATGATTCGTAAACGACTCATGCGAAGCAGTTCAAAGAATCAGTCTCTCTAAACCCCTCCTTTCCGTGAGCCCTCACTGCTGTGATTGGTCCGATGGCGCAGTTCTTTGTGATTGGTCCAGAGCCGTAGAGAGATCGGCTCTGGATTGGTCTACCGCTTACAGCGCGTGTCGGAAACGAAAGATGGAACGACAGCCCTGGAGACTTGTCAGTACATAGAAAAGATGGTATCGATTGTACCTTATCAATTCGAGCCGGAGTCTAATGATGAAACGGTTGAACTGGCTGATCGACAAGAGACTGATTCGCAAGCACGACTGGAGCAGGACGTTTCTCAGTGGTAAGTGTCAAGTGTTAACAAGTTTGTGGTAATTCTAAGATGTGATAAAACAAATTTACTCTCACAGCGTAGTACAGCGTCTTCTCGACATGATGTTAACCACACGGAAATTTTACTGTGCTTGTGGCAAGTTGGCGACGTAGAACATGGGCAGACATTATGTAAATGTTTTACTTCGTGACGTAGAGCCGTAACAGAACAAGATTCGAATTCCTGACGAATCGTTTAGGCGATTGCGAGCAGACTCTTTTTTTTGATAGACAATAACTTTATTTATCGTGCACTGTCGGCTTCACAACTTTACAGATAGTTTATGTTCACATACAGCTACATGACACACTGCATGAAAGGTAATATTCGAAAAGGCATAATAGGGGCACTTTAAATCAGGCAGCTTTGTATTAACATGAAAAACCAGAGTCAGTGTCGCTTTCATTTAGAATTACAACTTGAGTTTCTGTTATAAAGCAGCTCTCCAGTGTGCAGCTAGCTTATGATAAAATCGTTTTATTAGTGGGGAAAAAATATATCATTTCATTTAAGTGATAGTTTGGTTTGTAGAGATCAAAGCTTGATCTAGCTCAGGACTGTTTTGATTATCATAACCCTATAAGGTATTTTAAGAGATTATGTTGTGAATAAAATTGTTTAACCAAAAATAAAACGTCTCATCACTTACCTTTATTTTGTTTCTTATTCATATGTCTTAAAAGGAGATGTCAGGCAGAATGATGTCACTCAGTTACTTTTTCATATAGCTAAATAAATGGTGAATGAGAGAGTTTCTCTGTCGGTCATCTCATTCTGTGTGCCAAATACATTTATTTGTATAAATTAATTGTATAATAATTGGAATTACATAATATGATTTTCAAAAGCTGAAATGATTACCTTTATTTGTTAGAATATGCATTATGTAAGTCAATATTTTAACTAATTGCAAAAGCTGAATAATCAAAGTCTACTGATTAATCAGTGAAATAATCGCCGATTAGTCGATCTAAATAATCGTTAGTTTAATCGATTATCAAAATAATCGTTTGTTGCAGCCCTATTAGACTGCACCCCATAAACACAATCAAGCCTAGAAAAAAAACAGTCAACAGTCAACCACCCCTTTAAAAGCAGTAAGGGAACAAATGAACTGGGAACCCTGTGAATCAATGCAAATCATATAATCACATCATAAACAATGGAATAAAATAAAACTATCGTATATATATATTTTTTTTATTAATTCACAATTTCATTTTTAATTGTGAGTTTTATTATATTTCAGTTAATGTTTATTTTATTTCAATTAATGAAAATTGTTTTAGTCAAGTAATAACCCTGGACACCGTTTAACCTCAGAGCCCACAGAAGGTCTGTCTTGAAAAATCTAAATTTCTCCGTATAGAAAATGAATGGGATTTTTAGTTCTAGAGGTTTGGAAGATACGGTACAGGTTGTTGTGCTTGATCCACATGAAGCGAACTCCCCCGTGAGCCAGGATGGGCGACAGTGTTCCCTCCTCCTCTTTGTCCATCAGCAGGGTCATGAAATGCTCGATCTCGGACATGTCCACATCACCGCGGTAATTACGGCAGATCAGCACCTGAATCACACAGATGACCCTCATAATGCACAGCAGTTCAAATCCACTGACACTCATTTCCAATATCTGCATCCATATTAACCCAGATACACTGGTTCCCAAACTTTTTGCAGCGTGCACCCCTTTCTAGTGTTTGACACATGTCAAGCACCCCCACCACCGTACTCCAGTTAAACACCACATTTTTTACTGCAATACAAGTATAAATACAAGTATTCACTGTATACAGGGCTTGACATTAACTCTTTTGCTCACCAGCCACTGTGGCTAGTGGTTTTCCAAAATTACTAGCCACTCAGCATTTTCACTGGCCACAATTTTGTTGCTGGAAAATTAAATTTTATATGACTAAAGTTACTGCATATTAAAATATATTTGAATTGATTTCCAGGTCTTTTTTTTTGTGCCTATAAAAAGGGCATTTCCCCCTAACCTTATTAAATGCATGTGTCATCTTTCATATCAAATTCTTACATTTTATTAATAATTTCACTTAATATAATAAGACTCTATAGGGCTGTTACCAATCAAATGAAATCAGTATTAACAAAACCAAATTTTCCACTGCTGGAGAAACAGAAGCAGCTGAAGTGGCATTTAGATGCATTTACACAGACAATTTAATTAAGCTGAAATGTAGCATGAATGCATTAACACTGCAAAATTACAACAGCATAAATAATGCTGTGAGCTTGGTGTTTTACATCAGGTTTTTTTATTTACAAATATGAAAAGTTGTAAAAAATAAAAAAGTTACTTTTACATTTGAAAGTAACCCGCCAGCAGGTGGCAGCAAGTTGACTGTCGTAATGAGTGTGTCATTGAGGCATTCAAACGATTTGTTCAGAGGGCTGATTCATTCAAGAATGAAGCAAGAGCCTGTCTTTTATGAATGGACCACTGAATCATTGACTCAAATTATTAATTCAAAAATGCGAATCATTCAGTAGCCTAACGAAACACCGCTGACGCTGTGTGTTGCTCAGAGATGCGCGACAGTTCTGCTGCTAAGTTTGTTTGGAACTATTTTCGTTAAACAAATCGAGCAAAAACAGTTACATAGGCATTATTGTACTAAAATGTATGCCCTCAGTCACTTAATATTAACTAGGCTACTCGTTTGAGGTCTTGTTTAAAATCAATGTCGAATTTACAATCGTACTGATTTTCGGGGAAAACTGCACTCTCTTAGTCGTGTCATGTTAATTAATTAGGCTAGGCTTTATGTAATAAATATAAAAACTACATTTGTTTCTTCTGTGTGCAGTTGTGTTCATTTGTTTCGATTTCTCCATGAGATTGTCTCATGTGAGTCTCAACTGCCGCGACCTTGTTACCCTTTGATTATCCATTATGAATTGCCGTTTACACCAAGTGTAATAAAATCAGAATCATTCTCGCCGAAATTTTGGTGCTTCCCTAATTCGATGTTTTAATTAGATTAGATTAGTTGTCCAGTCGGGCAAGTAAAATTCTCTTTCACTTGCCCCTTCAAAAAATGCACACAGATCATCAAAAGCATTCTCTTGCGCACCCCAGTTTGGGAACCGCTGCACTAGAGTAACCATAGTAACCGAGGCCAAGAATGAGCAGCTTACCAGGTTAAACAATCAGACTAGTTTTACAGTAAATGCAAAACTTTGTGTAACACGATTTTACAATGTACCACAATTTCATTACCTGCAATTCAAACATATTCAGTTTCTACGGTCAGATTGAAGGCAATGATTTTGCAAGACTGTAAATATAAGAAAATTGATATAAGGTAAGATTAAATGTGCAATTATTTCATGCAACTCAAAGTGCTTTACAAAACAAGCGAAATATGAATTATATCCTGTTAAATAAACTAAAGCATAGAGATGGACACAAATAAGTTTAAAAAAGGATCAAGACAAATGTCTGCTCTTTATTAATTAGTGCTAATAACTGACTTTTGACCAACAGTTACTATATCAAAACATCACTTAATAATAAGCAGGTGTTTTTATATCATTTTATCACAATTCATATGTATAATTTAAAATAGAAGAAAAAATATTAATTGCTGCATCAACAGTAAAAACTTAAAATAATCTAAAGCTAGAACTGAAATAAACTGAATCTGAACAGTAACATTTAAAACAAATGAAAAATGACAAAAACATAAAAATGTATATAAAATGACGAATTAAAATAAAATGAAAAAGAAATATAAAAGCTAATTCAAATTAAAGAAAGCTATAAAAGTAATTAATAAAGCTAAAAAACTGAATGAAATTACTGTAAATACAGTCAAATTTAAAGTAAGATTAAATGTTCAATAGTTTCATGCAATATGATGCGTTAAAAAAAAAAACAAGCGAAAGATGAACAACATCCTATTAATAAAGCAAGAGGTCGAACATAAAAAACTTACAAATACTTTTTAATAATTACTATTTAGTGATTAATAATACTTGACTTTTGACTGACAGTTGCTATATCAAAACCTGTTAATAATAAGCAGCTGCTTGAGTAAATTTCTATTTCAATAGATCTCAGTTTCATAAACTAATAACTTAATAATCCGGATTTTTAAATCCCCTCAATTTTTTTAGACTGATTGAATCACGTTCATTTATTTTAATGAACAATAACTTTAAATTCTGTTTAAATCCCCTCACGTTGCTGTTTGATGTGGATTAGCTTTAGCCTGCCGTGCTAGCGAACCGTTATCTTACCTTCCCCTTCAGATCCAACACATAAACAGCGCTCGCCGACATGTTTGCGCCTTCCTCGACCGCTTTTATCCTTAACCTACAGACGTTCGCTCACTTCTGGCGCATTTGTTAGTTTAATAAAGAGCTGTCATCCGTTTTAGACGCTCAAAGAAGCTCCATCATCAAATAGCGGATGGGAGAGGTTTTGAGGAACCGGGTGGCGCTGCTGCTGCGGTGAGAGTGAGTGACTGTAGCGCCGCCTGCCGCACTGGACGAATGACAGTACTACAGTCAAGACCGCTGCCTTGCTCTGATAGCGTGGTGTGTCTATATATATTTATTATATATTATTTAAATAATTTAATTATTATTTTATTTTTAATTATTTTAATTATTATTTTTAATTATTTTAAAATTATGTTAAAAAAAATTATATATAT